CAATGTAATGACTAATGTGTGAAAGAATGACAAGAAAATACAAAAAGAAGTGCAAAGTAAACATTGTTGATCACCTACCATGAAGAGAGGATCGCCAATTGAGTATGACCTCATCCAATTTGACAGTGCATAACACTTGTCCCAACATAGTAGGTCGGTGAACTCCAGTAGAGAAGGCGATGCATCGAAAGAGAAAGACGATCCCCACACACATCGCCCAAAGTGATAGTGTGTAGTGTAAAGATTTAATGCTCGAAAGGAAAACAAAAGTGGTATTTAGAGATTTGCCGAATATGTAAGGTTGACTCAATCGAGTTCGCTAACTGAGGTTCAAACACCTGAAGCGTAGAGCATCACAAGGTGAGATGAGGAGCGAAGGGCGATTCACCGAGCTAGTTTGGCGAGCCCAACTAATGTCACCGAGTTTGTTACGAAGCGGATTTTGAGCCAAATTTTTGGAAAGTATAAATAGCCCAAAGGATATAATTTCTAATATGTTTATTTGGGATGTTAATTAGAGAGAAAATAAAAAAGCGAGTTGGAGAGAGTTTTGAAGAACACTTCACCTTTTTAGAACACTATTCTAGATTTTAGGGTATTACATTTTGGAATTTAAAATTGATAAATTGAAGTTGAATCCAAAGTAGGTTTACTCTTAATTACTTGATTTCAGTTACCCATGGTTGCTTTCATGGAAGGTATAATTTCTTTAATTTTTGTGATGGGTGGCTCAAACCCCAAGATCTAGGGGGTACTCTAATGGGATTTGGTGTTGATTTAATGTAATGGGTATTGTGTTATGCTATGTTTTGTTGTTTTTCATGCATGAATTTTATCTAATTACCATGAGGTTAACTTAAGGGTTAAGGTTACAAACTTAATTCCTACTTTCGATCTCTAGTTGATGCTTGAAAGAGATTGATTGGAGTGGGTAATTAGTTCAATACTAGCAATTGAGGTCTGATGTCTGTAGCTTGATCGAAACAGAGGTTATGGGTCAAATCTATTTTCCCTATTCTTGAAAGAGAGGATAGAGTAAGGTATTGGGTTGTTTAGGATTGGCATTTAGACGAGACTGAAATGAGAGTCTAGGCATAAATGCTTTGAGATCGAAAGATGATTAGCGTCATTGAAGTTGACTTAGCCTATTCATGAATGTTCGTCACTATAAAAAAGCGCAATCACTCATATGTGACATTGATATCAAATTCCCGCACCTCTAGATTACTTGTTAACTCTTGATTTCTTTGATATTTTAGTTTAACTACGGAATTGATAATCAAATCTTTATATTAAGTTGGTGGTACCATCCACCAAAATTTTCTTACTATTACAAATGAGCTAAATTAAAGTCGTAATCTCTTGATAACGAATTCTCTACGATATACCATTCCCTGTGGGATTCGACCCCTACTCTTTGTTGAGTTTTTTACTGACTACAATCACTCACTCTTTTTATTTATTTTGGAGGGTGATTTGAGCATTATTAGGTTTCAACGCCATTTTTACCATTTTTGAGTTTTGGGAGCTTTGGTAAGGCTATTTGGATCTAGTTTTCGAGTAAAATCTTTTGGGTAACGCTTCTTAACTCTAAATCTTCGATTACGCATTATTATCATTGAATTTATGAATTTAAATTAAGATTTGGGTTGATAAATTGGTGGTTCTTCCTGAACCTAAGTTTTAAAGGAAAGTGAGCTTATGAGCTGATTTTAAGCCCATTTTCAAAATGATTTTCCCTAATTAGTTCCTAAAGCCTTGAGTATTATTTTCAAGTATCATTTTCCAGATCCAAACCTCCATTTTGATATTGGATTTTGAGTTGTTTGACCCATTTCTCTATATAATTGATATGAGAATTGTTGTTTCCGATGAGTGATTGTGAATACTTCATTATTTTAGATTGTTTGGCTTTGGAAGTGATTCGGAAGGGGAAGGCTCAACTTTCAGAGTGATTGTTCTTTGATTTAAGGCAAGTGGTTTCCTAAATCTTGTATTCTAGATTAATTCTTATACTTCCTTCATTGCTTGTGTGTTGGGAGTAATGGGATGGGGTGAAGGGTTAAATTATCTGATTGTTAGATCAAAATGAATAAAAAAGGGTTGAAATGAAAAAGGTTATGTGATGATCATGATGATGTAAATTGCCTTATTGTGTCCTTAATTGATTGATTGCTGAAATGCTTGAAAGCATGAATGTGGCTTGAATTGTGCAATTTGTTGTCTCTTCTATATGGTGTGATAGTGCTTGTGTGCATTGATTGTTGAACACCGTTATGAGACATGCGAGTGTGATTAGGCCTAGGTCATTTCCGACTAGTGCTGTGATGCTGAGATCATTTCCTGCTAGTGATTCAATATAAAGCCAATGGGAAATGGTTCAAGCAGGATATTTATTATTGTGACATAATGCATTTAATGCTTATGCCTGACTTGCTTGATACTTGAGATTGATGTATTTGTTGCGTGTGAATGAACTACTTGAATTTGAGATTGACTTGTTTTATTTGTTTAATTATTGCATTGTGGTTATCAGATTGTGAATATTGGTCCTTGTGAGCCGTGTATTGTAGAATTGCTAGGATAGGTTGATTTATGTGCAGGTTTTAGTTTGAGGAGGTTTGGTTTGAGAGTCCGGGGTATTCGTTTTCTAGCTAGTTTCTTTGTTTATTAGGTTTCTTGTTGGGTACCTTGTTGTTGGTACTCACCCCTTGTCTTTATACATGTAGGTTCTGAGTCTAGACCCGCATGATCTTCTTCTTCTCATAGTTGTCGGGGCTCATGAAAGATTTGAGAGGGAGTTGCTTGTCATTCTGGCGGACCCTCTTTTCCTTTTCTTTTTATGCTTTGTTCTACTCGAGCAACAAAGATTGAGACTCCTATTTATCTTTCAAATTCAGTATTTTGATTAATGGCTTGCATATGTGGCAACCAAGTTTAGGGGTATTGTTTAGAATGAATAATTCTTTTACCTATGTCTTGTTCTGTTTTATTGCATTTATGCAATTTCTTTCGCTTTGTTGGGTTGAGGTTGACTTGTCTTGGTGGGAATAGACAAGTAACATGACGTCTATTTTTGGGTCATGACAAAATGGTATCAAAGCCCCAGGTTCATAGGTCTCACGTGTGGACAAGCCAAGTCAAGTAGAGTCTTGAAGATCGGTACGAAGACGTTTGTACTTATCTTCAAGAGGCTACAAGGATTGTTAGGAAACTTCCTTTTATTCGCATTTTCTTATCGTTCATGGTTAATTTCGCTAGTTCTAAGTTGTGGTATATTGTTTTGGAAGATGCCGAGGACCAGAGCTTTTGCTTTTAGTGGTAGAGGGGAAGCAGTCCCCGAGGCATTTGTTGAGACCCCGACTAGGGGTAGAGGTAGGATCTAAGTTAGAGGTCTTGCTCATCGAGTAGCACCAGTTCCCGTGGAGCGGTACCAGACAGAGGTAGAGCTAGAGAGGCTTCTCCTAAGCCACATGTTGAGGTTGCTGAGGACCAACAAACGAATTCCAAACATCTTCATTTCTCTAGAGGAAAATAACCTAATATTCCAATAGTCATTAGTTTTTGTTTTCCATTTGCATTAGATGCATCCCATAAGTTAGCAAGAGTTATCAGGAAAAAATGTATAGTAGGCTCAGTATGACATGTTGAATGGTTGGATAAGGCACATTTTTGGGTCATCGACGACATCCCAACATCACGTAAGGGAATCAAGTGAGCTGTGATGTCAATTAATTTGCCAGAGTAACATACATCAAATCTCAAGAAGTTATCCAATACATACAAATTATTCTCTAGCAAATTGACTGATACACTTGTATCCATTCCCTGATAGTGGAACCCGCTTGGGATATTCTTCCCCCGACACATAAATATTCTTAGTGACAAAGAATCTGAAAGAGACACGTCATGGTTGATTCATGAGATATTCTGAAACAACAAATTACAAATTGAATCAATGCTCCAATCTGCATATGTTGTATCTAATTCTTGTGGAAATTTTAGCAGTTGTGTAAGTCTCTTGCAATCTGATTAGTGCAACGTTTGAAGAACACCAAGTTGGGTTATGCTTAGAGACAAATGTTCAAAATTATTTTCATTGAGATACAATTCTTTCAAAGAGTGTAAGCATCCAATGTCTTCCAGAAGTTGTACATCTACTAAATTGCATTCACGGAAACCCAAAAGTTCCAATGAGCGTAACCCTTCATTCATGCGAGGGAACACAAAGAGCATTTTTTCTTCTACATCAACTCTTTATTTTGATGTAGGAAGTCCAAAAAAAAGATTTTAAGCTAGTTCAGGCCGGCAATGGAGATGGAGGACATGAAATTAGAGTCCTTGAGGCGCCAAGCTCCTCCTAGTTTTCTAAATCACCTATCTCTTCTGGAAAGCGTTCAAGTTTTGAGTTGTACACCAGTTGTAGCTTCACCAAATCTTTCAACTTACAAATGCTTCTTGGAAGAGCTACAAGGTTTTTCATAGAACTCAAATTTAGCTTGGTAATATGAGTTTGGTACATAATAAACGATGGTTGTTCGATTATCCCGGAGTATCCCATGTGAATATCTAACTTTGACTTCATTCTTCCAATGATCTCTAGAAATTACTCTAAACTAGAGGAATCTTGTAGATCTAGAGATTCCACATTAACACATGGAAACCTTATGAGGCTTATACATCCATGCAAATTTAACTGAATGAGTTTTCTGCAGTACTCCAGGAACTAGTGAACCTCTTCAAGACCCATACATTTTATCAGATTCAAATACTCCAAATTTGGTATTTCTGTGAAATCTTGTGTTCGTATAAGGTTATCGGAAAAGCTAAGATCTAGCTTCCGTAGAGATGCCAAATGTTGTTATATATTCATAACATAGAAGGAATGATATCGGAAAGCAAGAGTAGTACATTAGACCAAAAATGAGTATTGACATTTGGATTATAAGAATCAACACAATTTTTCGTGAGAAATTAGAAATTATTTTATGTTCCTTCTTATATATGTTCAGAAACTAAATACAAGTATAATTTTAAGTAAAAAGTACAATATTTGATATGTGAGTCATGACTCACACAATATTAACTCTTTTTTTTTTTATGGGGGAGGTCCATCTCGTTAGGTTGCTATTTGGGCCTTCAAGCGTCGGCTTGGTGTTGCACTACTGCCTTGTCTTGGCACACCCTAAAACAACTTAAACTTGAAAAATTTATCCCAAGATAATTGTCACTTTAGATTCAAGATTGAAGTTGACAATTATTTTATCAAACTATATCCTTAACATTAAATAATATCTTTATTTTAATACTACTCAATTCTCAAAAAGATATATAATAAATAGGGGTATCTTAATACACTATATCTTATTTTTATTATTTTTCCTTAGTTGAAATGGGAAAGGGAGTATCACTAACCCCCTGGACAAAAATGCCCTTTGAATCCCTGTCTATGTATCTATTTCTGATTGGTTGTAAAGAGATGAGTAAGAAAATAATTAAAATACACTAATGTCGATAAAATTAAAATTGTATCAATGGTCACTAAAATAGTTAATATGTTTGACTAAAATGGAAGATTAACTATTGTAACTTTATTTCAGTCCATAAATGATGCAACAAACCAAACGAGAGATTAAGATGAACAAGTCTTTTGTGTTCTGAAGTTTTTGACAATGATTACCAAGGATATCTATCACAATCAAAATTTCTGATTTGTAATATTTTAAGACTTTTCATATTTTTCATGGATTTTTTTCTAAAATGTATTTTGAACTCATCGTAACCAAATTGCTTCCATTGCCTTGGTTCCCTAGTAAAAGGATCATTAGTCTACAAAGCAAAATTAATTTCTGATTTCTGTAAAAAAATAAATAAATTCCCTTGCAAGTAGGACAACTTTCTTACTCCTTGCAATGTCAAATTTTGGCATGTTTTATATTATTTATCGTTGCACTTGAGTTCTTGAAGAGCTAGCACCACTAAAAATATTTAAGGTCCAATATTAGTTAGGCCTCTCTTAAAAAATATGTCGCTCAAGAGAACACTTTGTGCAATTAATTCTATAATTATACTTTCTAATAATAAATTTTTCAAGAAGTTCTTTAGAGTCAAGTCTAAATGTTTTTAATATGTTGAAGTACAAAATTGTAATTGAAACGGTACTAAAAATTTCACCATTTAAATAAAATATAATCAATGATCAAGTGAATTCGGAACAAAGAATTTGTAATGTAAGTTTTGTCCCTCTCTATTTGTATTTTTTCATTTCAGTATATTTATCATTAAAAGGTTACTCAGGACAATTAGCTAGATCATATTAACTTAAACTTTTACTAATTAAGTTATTATGTACAAAATATCGTACAAATTTCAAATTAATCCAAAGAATGAAAGTTGGATTAAACATTTTGTAACACCCCGAAAATTTTTCGAGCTAAGACTTGAACCATTCTTCATTGTGATGAGGATTTTAAAATTTCTTAAGTGTTAAGGTCACTAGATGTAGCACCTTGAGTTCCAAAAAAGAACTAAATTGGAAATAGCAAAATCTGAAATTTTGCAAGTTATTCTTAAGTTATGAGTTTTGAGTCAAATTCAAACGATCATAACTCTAAGTACAGAATGATTTAGGTGGTCTACAAGATAGCTAATGAAAGGTCTTGTAATTATCTATCCAACGGCACTGAGTTTGCTAAGTTTCGAGTTCGGATGCGTGAGATATGCTCTTTTGAAGTTGAGTTGTCCAGTTAAGGAAAGTTAACACGAAAGTAGTGAGGGGTATTTTGGTCTTTTCCTAACCAAAACAGATTTAATTCATTTTTAGTAAGGTTTTAAGGGTCTAATCCTATTAGGTTCAGTTTTATACTTCTAATATACACTTAGGGTTTTAGTTGAGAGTTCAAGAAGCGAAAAGAAGAGAAAAAAAAAGAGAAAAGAGGAGAGGATCAAAGCGTTCGTCGAGGTTCTTAGGTTTTGTTGTGGATTTTCGTCATGGGTTTGATCCCTAAGAGGTATGTCAGCTTCCATAGTGTTGGGTTTGTTCACCCACATGCCAATCATGTTATTTTCAGTGCAACTTCATTCTTGAAGTTGAAAGATTAGAGTTCTTGATGAGTTCTTGAGAAGTGTTCTTGAAGTTCATCCTAAATCTTGTTGTGTTGGGCTTTTAATGATTTCTTCAGATGAAAGTGAGTGTTTTGAGGGCTTTATTGAGTAGATTAGAGTGTACTTATGTTAAGTAATCGGATCCAAGTAATTAGGGAAGAAAACGTTCGATTCTAGGCGAGTTTGGGTGAGAAAACAAGCAAGGAATTATTCGTCTGGTTTTCTGGGTTGAGGCCTGGCGCGTCGCGCCAGCCAGTGCGCCCCAAATTATTCTCTGAAGTTTAGGGCTGGCACCCCGCACCACTCACTGCGGCAGGGTCTCCTGTCCCGTCCAGTTTGCAATCGGTTGCTCCATTTGAGTTCTTTCGAAGCGTACCTTCACTCCTTTTCGATTCTAACTACTCAAAACTACTTCTAAACACCTAGAAACGATTCTAACATGATTATAACTTTGAATTCATAATCCAAATTCAAGGTAGAGTTAAGAGTTAAGTTTTGAGAATTCTTTCGGACTTTCTAAAAAAAATCCCTTTGATTCCTTTTGTGGAGTCTTCTACAACTTCTAGTAACTTGTTTCAAGAACTCCATCAAATGAGTCTGAGAATGAGGAGAATATATTCATGAGTCTACTTTGTCATCAAGATATCCTTCATATCATGAACCATAACTCTTGAATTCATAATTCACATTCAAGAGAGTGTTAAAAGTAGAATTCAAGAAAGCTTTTGAGTTCAATTGTGAATCCTTTGAGATCAACTATCGATTTGAACCAAGTTTTGAGAAAGTAAGTATGAGAATGAGAAGAGTCGTATACATGAGTTCCATAATGTTCTTTTGACCCTCGAGTCAAGTCGTCATGGCCATAAATGATGCATGAACTCCTAAATTGATCATCATTGAGAGAAGTAGTATCTTCAATTTATAACTCTTGAGTATCGAGTTCCTAACCTTTTTGAGAGTATATTCCTAATCATGGGACTATTAGATGTTACGCTGAAGTCCTTATGTTGAGTAGTCGTGCCCATAATTCCGCATGAACCATATGAGTCGAGAAATATTTAGATGAGGAGTATCATTGAGTCCTTGAGTTGAGTTGTTCATGCCCATAATTCCACATGAACCTTATGAGTGGAGCATTCTTTATATGAGTATTATCATTGAAGTTGTTGAGTTTTGAGTATCGAGTTCTTTGTATGGTTATTGAAAACCTTGAATTGAGTCGTTCACGCCTATCATTCGGCATGAACCTTATTTTGAGAAGTCTTTTTACAACTTTTTATAAATTTGTTTCAAGACTTGAGCACTTGAGTTGAGAAAGAGTAGAGTCGAGTTCATTTTCCTTAAAATGATATATGGTAACTAAGTATTCCCAAGAGTAAATGTTTTCACATTTAAAAGAGAAGGAAATTGAGATTTCCAAAAGAGTTTTGAGTAGTTTGAGTAACATATCTTTTTAGAGAAATATTTAAGTAATAAGCTCAAACCACAAAAAGAGTTATGTTTTTAAACATATGAGCTGAGTATATTTTTGGGAGTAGTATTGAGCACCAATATGTGGACGAGTTCATATAACTCAAGTCTCCATAAACCATGTAGCCAAAGTGGGCAGAAAGGGTCACACTTTTTAGATGATTCCTTAATGCTTTTTAGCATTGACTGGTAAATCCACTTAGTTGAGGTGTTCTATATCCCGGCAGGTAATAGGACAGTTCTGGCAGCGTGGGCAAGACGGTGTATCATCACATAGCTCATAGTGATGATTTTCGGTTAGAGAAACTCCCACAGAGTTATATTGTATTTTATTATATATAAATTGAGTTGTTATTGTATTCTTCATTACACTGAGTTGTTATCTTCTGTTTTAAAAGCTTTCCATATATCATGTGTATTATTGCTTTATATTGAGTTGAGTATCTAGAGTTGAGTACCTAGAGTAGAGTATCTTATTTTTAAGTTGAGTTTTATTCCACTGAGTTGAATATCTTATCATTGAGTGAACTATGTTTCTTATTCTTGAGTTGAGTTTAGCATGAGTGAGTTGAGAGGAGGCAAGTATGTTTCCTTTTATCAAGTTCAAGCTTATGTTATGTTTTAGAATTCCCCTTACATGCTTGTACATTCCACGTACTGAGCTATTTGTCCTGCATCGTAGCATGATGCATATATATGTATTGAGGGTCATCAACAAGAGCTTTGTTGGTACCACATGAAGTTCGAGCTTGCTATGGTGAGCGTCCTTGCTTCCGGATGATTTCATTTACTTTTCAATTTTGTTAGAATGTCGTGGGTCTTGTCTCGACTTCCATCTTTGTCATTTTGAGGCTTTATAGATAGATAGTAGAGTTTCAAAAGCCTGTTCATTTATTTTGTTAAATGTTTTAAAGTCTTAAGTTTCCTATTTTGTGGTGAGTTGAATATATTAGTTTTATTTAGAATTTTTCATTTGAGTTAAAGCTTTGTATTTGAGTTTCATGAATTTTTATTCAGTTTTTAAGCTTTGTATGCTTGAGTTTGTCTTCCACTTGTAGTCAGCCAGGATGAGGGTTTGCTTGGGGACCAGCAGTGGTTCCCGAGTGCCGACCACATCTAGGGTGTAGTCTCGGGTCATGACAAACTCGGTAGCAGAGCACAGAGTTCTAGTGTCGTAGGCTGTCAATGAAGTCGTGTCAAATAGGATATTATTTATGGTTGTGAGGGCCCCACTTCTATAAATGAGGGACTACATACATTTAAGAAAAAAGTTTCCCTTCTTTCATACTCTTAATCGTGCAATAGAGCTATGTCATAGACATTTATTTATACTCATGCGTATCTCAGATCCATTCGACTACCCATAATACTAGAGGTGGTTGAAAAGGAAAGTCAATCCTTTATTGATAAGTTACTCTTAGAAAAATCTTGAGGAAGTCATGAGACTCCGGGGGGGCTTGAGAGAAGCCCATGAATGAGTAAGTGTTTAGTTTCAGAGGAATGCACCCATATTCATGTGAATCGTGCGTTTGAGGTAAAATTGAGTTGTACTCTCTTCTCTAAGCCTTGTTTCAACTGAGATCCTTATGAGAAAGTATGTTTAGAGCTTGGGTAG